AACTTAAATAAATTACGCCTCGCTAAAAACCGTCGAGGAATCACTCTTCGTTACACGCAACACTATCTCCGTCTATAATACTCCGCTGGAAAAATAGCCGTCGCATGCCAGCAAATAAAGCTCCAGTTACACACCTTTCATCGGCGGTCACCGCGTCACTTTTCTTTCCTCGATCTCTTCGCGCCAGTGATCGCGGCGGTCCGATCTAACGGTACGCAACAGCACAAGGCTCATTTTACTTTTCGCCGGGAAACCAGTTCAAAAGGCGGACAGATAAACGGGCAACATTAATTAAAGTACAGTGGACTCTAACTATAATGCCACTGAACATATTGCCACACCAGGCACTTCCCCTTCACACGTACTTTCGGGCACACAAATTCTCTCCCCCACCACGTTGGGCTCTGAATTTATTGCGATTTTACTGCCCCAGATCCCCGACCATAGCAATACATGTAACAAAAATGTTGGAGAACCCGGAAATGGGAGACTCGTCAGATGATATAAAACAAGTTTTTCCTTAGCAAAAATATTATCCGAGGCTTTGTTAACGAGATATTAATGAAAAACATCGACCAATCAGCGCGACTCTACCAGCCAAGTTCCCGCAGTAACTCGGCCGACAGACGCGCGCTCCGATTGGTCGGAGTTTTTCGTTAATATCTCGTTAACAAAGTCTCGGATAACATTTTTGCTAAGGAAAAACTTGTTTCAAATCACCTCACGAGTCTCCCATTTCCGGGTCCTCCAACATTTTTGTTACATTCTGTATAGTTAGAGTAGATTATCTTTGTTTTCATCTCCACGGACAGAGGAAGGGGGAACAGCCCACGGGCGGGGGGACGCGTGGACACACACCTGCCCGTCTCGCGATTTTTCCAGGTATGTATGCACCGTGGATATTATCCGGGGCGTCGTAGCTTATGCATCCAGGCGGCGTTGCGCGCACGGCAATTATTACGGCAAGGTAGCCTTGCATGAGTTATGGGGAGAGATCTGCATTCTACGGAGCCCTCCCCATAGGCTCTATTTCATATCGAGTGTTTAAATCTCCGCCCTCTTCGTGGCTGGCCGCTGTTCTATCTTTCTTTCTCTCGGTTCGCGCGCAGAGTTTTCCTGTGACCGCTAGAATGCCCTCGAGATCTCATCGTGTATCGTAGGCGCCATGATTAAGATTTCGTTTTTTTTTTTTTTTTTCGACGGGGGAACCCTTGAATTAGAGCCTGACTATCGGTACAGAGACCATTTTCGCATGTATTTCTCGTCTTTCCTGTCTTCGATGTATGCACGGCATCCTTGTTGCATGGTGTAGTTTCATCCAGGATCAGGATGTCTACAGGAGGACTCGAGGTCTATGGAGGAAATGAAATCACGAGTTTTCAGGAAACTTTGAAAAAATAACTGGGCTATTGGATACTGGAAACGACCTGAAATGGTAGATTTGTAAAATTTGATAGAAAAATGCTTGAAAATTTCAATGTTTCATTAAGAAATCTCGTTTTTTCGGTGTTTTCATCGCGTTCAATTGAATTCGTGAAAATACCCGCACACTAATAACTGATTTCTAAGTGGGTTATAAATATGAAACAGAGTATATATGAGCAGAAATGGAAAAAATAAGAAAAAAGTAACAAAAAATAAGTGGACACTTGACATTGTTACTTCCTGAAGGTAGCTATAATGTATCTTTGTCAATTTTTATATGGGTTGCCAGTTTGGTATTTTCCCCAAAGACCAGTTTACTATATTATCGTATAAAAATAAATTACTGAAAGTTTCTCTTTGCGTCAGCTGCACAAAGTGGAACGCACCCTCGAGTGTTCGCATGGAAACTCGCGGCGAAGAACATTCCCATCAGCCACGTAGCACGAGGCTCGACGATAAAAATTCATCTTTCGATCGCCTGTCAGCGGAAACCGCGACGCGGACGTTGAATTGCATTCCTTTTGCCGCGGTTTTCCCGCCGTGAACCGGCGCGGAGCGATTAAACGCGTCCAGTTTTATCGCGAACGGGGCTTTCGTAGACGCCGTGGAAAAAAAATCTGCGAAACAGAACGCATCGACGATTGAGACGTGGCCGCTCGCGTGTGTTCCGAGTTAACCAGATTTCACTTCCCCTACCGTGGTAGCAACTATGTGAAACTCGGTTGCACAGGGCCCCCCCCCCATAGAACAATAGGATGATCGTGGGTTTGCCGATTTTTTTCTGGTCTTCGAATCGATCATATCTGGAATACTATTCTGCATAAAAATCCGGATGCTAATTGTAATCAGAATACCAAAACTATTTTAAACTTTTCTAAAATTTATTATCTTCTCCTGTTTTGTATACTTACAGGCTCCTACTACTTAAAATCCTTAATACAATTTAGTAATGATTTATTTAATTTATGACTTGATAAAAATCACTGACAGTGAAAATAAATTTTTCTTTAATTCTGCGAAGTGGTCTACAAATATTTGACTTTAATGAACTACTTGCCAAACACCCACTTTTTAGTAATTACTCCACAAAAATAAATATTGACACTGGTCGACTATTATTTATTAACACAGAACATGGCTTATTAATGAACGGTTGTCGGTCTTTGCAACCTCATCAACAGTAATTCAACTATCTCTCTACAATGTCATGCAGATAGTAGGTCTCGAAAGGCAGTTCGTTCGCGTTGTACTAGTATATGTACGTACAATGGTTTTCTACCCCGTGGCCAATTCTTCCGCTGCTTGTTGGCGCAGGAGAAACAGAGTGTGACAGGAAGAAATAGCGAGCTAGGGGGTCAGATGTAAAGTAGATAAAGGGGACAAGTAAATAGGAACGATGATAATGGGAAAATAGAAAACGATAGATAAGTGATAAAGGACAAAAAATCGGCCCCGGAAACATGGAACGCTTTCTACTACATAAATTTTCTACCACAGAGACTGGAATAAAAGACACTTATAACTTTGCAATGTCCATATTCGTCGATATAATCAATTATAAAAAAAAAAAAACAGAAAGTAGATTTTTAATCTTGTTGAATCAGTTCAGAAATTGAAATCAATTCTGCAGAAAGTATATTTCATCCCGGTATCAATCAGATCTAAGTCAAAACATTTCACAATCGCAAGTTCGCCTGACTCACGTCGCGCGTATCCACGTAATACGCGCGAAATCCTCGTAAATTGATCGCGAGCCGGGCTATCGCACAGGTAGGCAAAGGCTGAGCCAGTAATACATTCGTCAGAAAAGGAGAATGTGAAATCGAGCGGTCTCTATTATTTACCGGAGTGAAAACCGAGACGAGGCCTAGGCCTGGTCGCGATTGTAAATCGCGGCCTATTATACGCGCGAACGCGTTCATCGGTCATCGGCGCCGTGGAATATGAATTCGCGAATCCTACCGGATGATCGTCGATCGTCGACATTTCATATATTCCGCCGTTTCTCACGGTTCGCCAAATAAATCGCGCCCACGGTGCGGCAATCAGTGGACAAAAATCGATAAACGAGATATTTATACGACAGTATCATACCTTATTGAAATATTAGGAGATAGTTGCTATCAGAGAAAACACATGTTAGTAGAGAAATACAGACGCCTCGCGATTATTGTCCCAATGGGATCTCGTTCCAGTTGTAGCCTCGTACCAGCGTCACCGGGTCGATGAAACGGGAAATAAGATTATAAAGTGTTAATAAGGTTAACCTTGAAATATTCGATGCAGTACTTTGCCCCCTATTTGTCTTTGAAAAGGGTAAAAAGCTTTGAAACACGAGAACAAATATTACTGAAGCGATCATAGATTTTTTGCTTTCCTAGAAAGAACGTATTGAATTTGACTAGATATAGAGATTACTTGTTGGTACAGCTAATAACACGGTATCAGAAGGGTACACGAAAGCAATGTATTATTACCAGATGCACTGACACGACAGGTTTATGCATCTACATCGCAAAAATAAAAGGTAACCGTGGTAATTGTTACTGTCGCTTTTCACTCGCCGTTCGAGTCATCGCATAAAATTATACAGCGACTGAGAGTCGCCTCTCAAGTGGAAAGAGTTAACGTTTATGAGGTAGGAATCGGTCGTTTCTGTGGGGCAAATAATACTGCAATCGGAGGAATCATGAGGAACATAGGTCTCAAAATTCTTGTCTTATATTTTAAGTTGAATTCTTTGCAATATTTATCACTTAAAGAAATCTTTCAGTGGATGTTATAAATTGACGAATTCAATACGAAATTTCGAGTAATCCTTTCGGCCTCTCTCTCACGTGACTCACAGCCACGCCGTCGGCGCCCATAGACCAGCGTCGGACAATCGGTCTTATCTATTGCCCCGCATTATTTCAATCTTGCGCGTCGCGAATCTTGTCGGCGCGCGGAGAATTCAATTTTCTCCGCGGAGCGTGCGCACCGGGACCGGTGTGTCATTCACTTCGCGAGACAGTACAATGGTCCATTTCATAGATCGCTTTTGTTAATCGCTCTACTAAACCGGCTATTATCGTTGAGGTGAGGGTCACGTTACTTGGTTCTCATTAGATACCCCGAGGGTCACGTTTCATTGTTCCTTCTGGAGAGCACAGTGCGGATGAATGATAGAATTTAGGACGAAAATCATCGTTCAATTATAAGTATCGGAATATTCGAATGTGTTTACAGAAAATAAAATGGGGAATGAAAAATTTGACAAATTTGTGAAATTATTCACTGCTTTGCAGCAACGGTAAGTTTTAGGACAAATGCATCTTCGTACTTTTATACTCAGAATACGCCAATCTGCTGAAATCGAGCATAAAAAATTGGACATTCCATTTGAAAAAACTTCTGTCAGTAACATTTTCTCATATTGTTTGAAATAACCAAATTATTTAAGTGGACAGAGTTCGTGAAACACACTGTATTTCTGACGAACGGAGGAATATTATAAAGCCACGATCCGGCTGAATATAACGACGATTAAAAATATAATTTAAAAAAGGAAAAAATCATTTTTTGAAACGACTTACCGCTGGTTGAGCTGTACTCGCCGATGTATCGCCTCGTCAGATACCGCACGACTACAGCTGAAATAAAAATAAAAAGCAATTAGAAGAAAAAAAGTTCGTACGTGTTTTCATTGTATCAATAAACATTTGAAGATTGATTACTATTACATATAGCGAGAATTCAATCGTCTGTTTCGGTTTAATAACATTTCTCTTGGATTACCTTAAATATTAATTTAAACACTTTTGATAGTTTTATTCGACAGTTATACGTTTCTGCAATAATATCCTCGATGATATCAGACGGAGAGAACGAAAGTTCTGCTCGTTTGTTTCTTAATTTCAGCAGCAACAGGTTCACGAGAGTGAAAAGCAATTAATCACCGATATAATTTCTCTGTTCACACGTAACCTTACGACTGTGCAATGAGCTTTTCAATTCCACAGGTAGAGAAATCTGGTTTCTGATTTTCAGATATAGCCGGACGAGAGTTTTCGAACCGTATTATTGCGGAGTTACGTAAATTTGATCTTTTATTAAGTAAAAAATATATTTGGAAACCTAGAACATGAGTCCAACATAGTTTCTATTAATTTCGTAAAGAATTAATATTTCTTGATAAATAAGATTGAAATTGCAGTCGTAGAAAGGTAATCAGATGATTTATTTGACATTAGGGTATGAAGATATGTAAATAATTTTCAAAATACTCAACTCCCAGATATAAATGAGTGGCAGCGACTCGTGTAAATCCAACTTTCGAAGGATTCATTACAGTAATTCGGATATTCGTGTATCCAGTGTCACCTCGTGGATAATTAACACGCTTTTCCTATCTCGGTCAGCTAATTGACGTCGATAAAATTGACAGGTGGTTCTCAGCTGTTAGAAAGTAACCCGTTCGCAATCGTGTTATTCACACACTGCCTCGTGTTTTCCTTATTTTATCGCGCCATCGGCATTAACATACGATCGACACAATTTTTATTGTCACGAAGTTCGATACGATGGACGCGTTTGTAACTTTCCATCATATTAATAAATTTATTTCTTCAATTATATTTCGGAGTTCTGAAGGTGAACATTGAGTTAAATTAAAGTTCAGATTTAATTTCAGAAGGTAAAAGTAAATTTTAGTAATACATGTTAAATATATCTTTTTGCCATACCAAAACCTTCTCTAATTCTGACAATTTACACGAGCAATTCTTGCAGATTTCACCGATATGTTGCCATTGTTTTAAACAAGTTTCAGCGTAATTCCGAATTTATATGATCGCTTCTATGAAAACACAAATTTGCATAAACATCTGCGGTCCATTAACAGGAAAGGAGAATTCTAGTAAAAAAAAAATTCCCGTTATTTATTGGCCAAGCCGCGGTGGTTATAAATAATTCCCGAGCAGGCGCGAGTTTCCCCCGGAGAGAAGAGATTAATTGAAAAGACGGGACGGATCGGTATCCACACACGTTCGTGGCCGGTGACTTAATTGAATTTTCGTCGATTCCCCGTTAAAGTGGGCGTGCACCCCGACACGAACTGCAGACACTCACAGGAAACCCAGCAATCGGTAGAGTAAGGCACCCATACGTCATTAGACGCGATAAAAGTATTCTGTTGCCGGCACCACACCTCCTGTCGACAGCCTCGCAGACGCGAGAGGAGCACGCTAGGCGCGTTCGCGAAGCGCCTCCGCTTATTTCATTCCGTTTGAACCCTGCAATTTCGCGGCGGAGAGATCCTTCTCTTGGTACCGTAGGAGACTCGGTAATTCGAACTACTTTCAGATGATATGGATCGGAGACTGGACCAACTCCTTTCTTCGAAAAATCCAGCGATCACCTGAAGATCAAGTGAATCTTGTAGATCGTAATTCTCTGTTTTTTGAATTCAGTAAAATTTCAGTTCAGTGAAGTTTTAGATTTGTTTTGAAACAATTCAAATTTTTGTCAAAATCGGTTCAATAGTTTGAAGTCCTTCAACTTTTTTCACAATGTCTCATTGATTCGCAGAAAACTTGTTGCGTCTGATGAATGTTTAAAATCTCTCGTTATATTCCACAGAGATATAAATGCATAAAATCTGCAATCTAATGATAATCACCGGACGATCCTACGAGATAAAGAGAAACGACCTCGGTCTCGGGTCTCGTGCGCCGCTGGGGATAAAAATCCCGTCGAATACGTAATAACGATAATTAATGAGCACGATATACAGGAAATGTCGTCCTCGAGAAATGCCGGTGCACGGCTGTGCCCCGGCCGTGAACACACGAACGGCAGTGCACTTGCGTCAAGGGACGGTCTCGCTTCATAAATTTCTTCGTTACTTCGCGAATCGTACGAGAGGGCTTAACATGTCGCGTACGTATAGTATCCTCCGGTTCGACCCTTCAAGACTTATCGAGTACATAGAGCCGCGCCGCGGACCGTGCCTCGTCGAGCCCTCGTTTATACACCGTTTATAAATCTGTCGTCGCAGCGGTTGGCAAAGTCCCGGGAGAGACCTCACGAGGAGAGCCGGAGAGGGTTGTCGGAGCGTAGAACTTGATCCGTGAAGTGATGCAACTGGTTCGGTTCCCGCTCGCTACGGCCGGCGAAGTGGACTGGTTACCGGAAATTGATGGGCCTCCGCCGTAGGAAATTGAACTGGAAAGGACTTTCAAGCATATGCCGCGTGTCCACGCGAGAATGAGTAGCTCTTGTGCTGCCTGGTGAGTTCAGAGTGTTGCTTTTAAGAGTTATTCTCGGCAGAGATCGTGAAGTCTCTTGGAAGTTAACCCTTTGCCTTATGACATCGGGTCAGACTCGTGGTGAGGATATCGAAATGGTTTCAACAGACAGACATATTATTCGTTTTCTTTGAGTCAAAGTGAAATACTAAATCGCTGATTATTTTAACTAGGCCAATGTCGATGCGTGGATACATTGACAATACAAATTTATACGCTATCAGTATTCTTACGTTTCTGATAGACCTCGTTAGATGACAGACCGTGGTGCATAACCTTCTGAGGTTCCCACGCGTTCGCGTGGATCCGCAGCCTGAAGATCTCTTCGGACCAGGGCGCTAAGTGGCTCGTGATCGGTATCGAGGACGCGTTCGCGCATCATCCGGTCTTTTGTCTTCGAAAGATAGAAAGCTCGGCCACCTCGGTGTCCATAAAACTTGCCCGCGTATCCGAAGTGGCACGGATCCGTTCGCTTCGGGTGCCTTCGCTGACATTTCAGGCGTTCGCAATTTGTACCTTTGTGTCGAACGAAAATACGTGTAAACTCTCTAGCATCGTCCGGACGAAAGTTCAGAGAGCCGGGGGAAATTCGAGACACGTATCAAGATAGGTAGAAGTTCACCGTGGCGACTGGAAATTTATGGCCGCCAGGGATCTACGAGGGGATCCATACGCGAGCGCGAGAGAAGGCCCCCTTTAAGCCTGTGCATTGTTGCGGGCGCACGGTGTCGTGCGACAGCGGAGAAGAAACCTCAGTTGAATGCCTTCGTCTAGTTCATAAGTCCTGAATTGAACGCGTCAACGGGCTTATCGGGGTCGATCTCCGAGGATACGAGGCTCAGCGTACGTACGCTCGTAAATACAACCGCTGTGTACCCGACGATACACGATAATGCATATCATTAAACAAATTCATAAAACGCCAGATAATCAGAGTTATAGGGAGGGGGAGGGGGCTTAATCGCGTCGCGGTTGTCGCCCGCAACCGACCCCATCGTTAACGCGTGTCTGTGTCTGGTGAAGTTCGAGCCACAGGCTATTTAAAGGGACGTGCGAGCTTTTTTTTCTAATATCAACACAATCGACGGTTGATTTTCTGAACAGAGATCGACGGTGTTATAGACTTCCGGGTGAAAACATCGATGTTCCCATGAAGGAATTATGATATTCGATGGAGTTACGTTTAAGTTCGTTTCTTCTGGTTATTTTATTAGGTGTACCAATTATCAAATTTAATTCTTATTTTCGAGGAAATCGCAAGACTATGCTGTTTCAGTGATACTTGACCCGATTCGACTATAGAGGAGTTGATTAAAACAATGAGGAGGTGCTCCAATCTTTTGAGCTGCAATGTAATCTGACAATATCTAATAATTTATATACATTTTATGAAATACTTCTAATCTATACTTTAAAAAACTCGAATTAACTGAACAATTTTTCGCTAATATGGGTAACATTAATATTGACGAAAACCCTTTGACAAAAGCTACTACTGACGATTTTCAGGAGCCTAATATGACATATGCACTCAAAATGAAATACGCTCAGATAAAGAGGATCCTACCGTACCAAACAAAAAACTAGACGACCCGACCTCACCTCAGCAACGAGCCTCCAGGGTTGGGACACGACTAGCCCAGGCAGGACAAGAGCACCAAGGCTAACCCCTCGGTTCGCCGCTTTTACCGTGCCGTGAATCGATCCTTTTTTACCTTGCTCCTCTTATCTTCAGCGATCGTGCCCGTAATTACTATTTTCTTACGTGCGCCAAGCTTTATCCGCCGTGAATCTATCTATAGACCGACTGTACGCGTCGCATGGACAAGGATCGAGCACCAGGCGAATGGCACTGCGCTGCTTCTCTCGGTGCGCAGGTTAGGTGCAATTGCAACCGTATTTCGATCTTCTTCAGCGCACAACAGGCTCCTCGATCTACGAACCAGCGACTTAATCGCCACATTTCTGCTCGTGCGCCGGTGCTATACACGGCCGTGTGTGCAATTGATTCGACAGTTCATTATCGGCGCGTTTTAATTGGCCTGATACGAGTGAAAATCTGTGCCAGGGAGACGGTTTATCGCGATTCCCGGTACGATATCGGTGCATGTCGACCGTCTGGAAACGAGACTTGAACCACGAGACGAACACCTGTTGCTCTTGTTGCGGCGGGAATTTTTTCTGTGCAGCGCGTAATGGCCTTCCGAGCGATTATTATTAGGTGATTAGAGACGAAATGGACTTTCTTTTACGGCTCGTTCGGTCTAATCAACCGGAGGTGTTGCTACCGACACCGGTTCAAGTGTAACGCAGATCGAGACTGCTGTTGTATGTACTGTTGAACT